AGAAGTATGTGTGTTAAGAATGATTGAACCATTTTTAGGTATGTATGGAGTGTTAACAATGGTTGGGTTGAGCGAAATGTTATGTACAATAATTTCAGCTAAGAAAATTTATGATTACTATTTTATTTCTTAGTATAAAACAGTACAGATATTTTTGGCAACAGAACATGTTACGTAATACAATTAAATTGGAAAATATTGGGTTTCCAAACAAACCAGAAACGAGATGTTGAAGTTTTCCAATAATACTTAATCCTTCGTGTACGATTCCAATTCCAAATACTTTTTATTGATCCCAAGACCGCTCTTCTGTTATTTGGTGTTTGATAAAATACGCTGGAGATAATCGATATTTTGTTTCGACATAAAACGCTTTGTTATCGAACTCAAACCCTAAAAATGGACAATATATTATTCCATCAAAACCGAAAATAACGCAAGCCAGGCTTAATCCCTTAATTAACCCTCCCAAATTTTAAATTAATTTGGTTGAAAGAAAAATATGCAAATTAATTGTTCAGTCCGGGTCTACCTGACCCGTAACCTTGAATAATGCGTAGTCGTGGCGTAGCGTTGCTACGGGCTGCTACGAATCTGCTACGAACTGTCTACGAATTGCTACGGACCTCTGAGGTTGTACTACGTTGTGAGTTTCGATCTGTAATTACGTTTTACGAATTGTTATTTTGGTAAAAGGATCACGTATTTTTGTTACTTTTGCTGCCTACTAGTGCCTACATATTTGATTTCAATTCGACCCGAACAGATTAGTTATTCATTTAAATTCACTGTAGTAACATTCATCATCTGTAACTTGCTCTAGTATTAGCAGTAAATTCTACTCCATTTAAAATATTATTTGAGAATAATTTCTATTATGGTGATATTTTAAGTACCTATTTTTACGTAAATATTATGTGTTCAGTTTAAATTCTTTTTAGATAGTATTTTTAAATGGTTATTTTCTTTTTCAGTCTTTCTGACTGGATTTAGGTGTTGCATTGTTCTCACATAATCGAACCAATAAAACTATGTAACTAGAGAATTGTATCGTAAACCTGATTGAAAAAGAGTAACCAATATGGAGTTTCTTGCTCGTTCTTCTCCATAGGAATCTGCGCCTTGGAATGAGCAACTAGCTTCACTTATAAATTTTTGTTGTTTAACGTTCAAAAGTGCCATCCTAGTCTAATTGAAATAAATGGTTTTGACTTTGACTTTGACTCTTACTTTGAAATATACTTATAGGATTCACAATATTATTTTTTTCTAGCTAAATTCATAGTATCTGTATATTTTTCTGTTCACAGACCCCTTCTAAACATTATAACGTATATTCTATTACTAGAATCGAGCGACTTTTCAACAAGTTTTACATTATTACAGCCACGTGTGTCCCTTTGTTGAAAGTCAACCGTCCAGAGGATTGGAAGTCACCCAGCTAATGTAAAATTACTCTTGAATGCGGCTCCATACCAAACCTTTTAGTACCCAATCAAATTAATAGAAACTCAATCATGACTTCGAAGAAATAAAGTCGATTTTTCTTTGCTGTGTGTGTTTTAATCCGGTCGCTAAAGTTTTTCATTGAATAGTGAAAAGTGGTTACTGTTTGTGATAGTTGAGCTTAGGATAAGTGGGTTTGTGGATGTTATCGTTAATTTTATTATTGAGTAAAGTAAATATTGTGAAAACGAAGAGATTGAATTAGACACATCTGCTATTATCAAGTTAGTAGATTATTATCGACCGGAGTGATACCACGGCCTCACAGAAAACCGACGTGAAGCAACGCTTGCGTTGTGTTTCGTCGTGTGAGTGAGGTTACCGGAGGCCCAATTACCCTCCCCTTCCCCAATCTCCCCAATTCCTGAATCCCCAACGATCCTCAAACCCCTAATCCCCAAAAGGCCGGTAGTGCACTTGTAACGCCTCTGGTGTTCCAGGTTTCCATGAGCGACCCCGATTGCTTACCATCAGGATCACCGTCTGCTCAATTACCGGCTTATGCCATAAAAAAAAACTGATATACGGGAAGCAAGTTCACTAGTAGTTTTATTGAGTTACAACCATTATAATTCCGGAAGTAAGTCAACACCAGTCTTCGTCTTATTTTTGAACAATATTTTATTACAACTTTCTAATTCTTTTAATATAATCACATAATTATAAGTACTTATGGTCACTCTATTAACTATTACAGTCTATTAACTATTTTAACCTTAACCCCAAAAACAATTCGTGTTCAACATAAGCCACAAACAAATAAATCACTACAAAACGGATATGAACTAAATACCCTTAATATTTACGTTTCGTGCTTATTACACGGTCGCTAATTAGGCATAAAAATGTATGGACGCAATGAACACGCTATTATTTGAATGAAATAATTTGCTGAACTTGAACACTAACATGAAAAATTTAGTACTCAGGTGGTCCTTTGCTGATTTTTTTTACATAACATAACATAACGTCACTCCTTTTATCCCCGAAGGGGTAGGCAAATGTGCACATTATGCCATTGTACAATGTAACACCCACTTTTCACTATTTATGTTATGAGTCCCATGTAATAGGGGGTGAGCCTATTGCCATATACAGGGCACAATTCCAGACTCCGTGCTATTACTGAGAATTTTTAAAAACCCAATAATACTTTGCCCGACCCGGGGATCAAACCCGAGACCCCTTGCTCGGCAGTCGACCTTGCGACCACTCGGGCAACAAGGCAGTTTTTTTTAATATAGAAAAATGTAACACTTGCTTTTTAATATCCACCAAGCTTAGTACAGGTTACATTTCTCAAAACAGTAACAGTATTAGTCTAGCTACAATTGTGATAACATTTTTTTGGTTACACTCTTTGTTTGTCTCTCCTGTCACAGGGCTGCAGGAAGAAAATAAAGGATATGCAGTACCTTTACTTTGTTTTGTATTTTTTTTGAGTTTTTGTTTTGTATTTTTTTTTTTAGTTAAGCTATTCCTTACTTATATTATATATCGGAAAGTGAGTTTGTTTGTTTGATCCACTTTAACGCCGTAACTACTAAACCGATTGCTTTGAAATTTTGCAGACGTAAAGTTTGTCCGGATTAAATAATAGGGCACTTTTTATCCCTGAAAAATTTGATATTCCCGAGGGAAAACAAAAGTATTGGTATAGATGGCGCTTTGTGTATTGGTATATGTCACATTGGCTTATTATCCTTTTGTGACGCGAGCGAAGCCGCGGGTAAAAGCTAGTTCTTTATATTGTTCAATGTCTCCGGGGGTCACCCGGGCCTGGTGATCTGTCACATAGGTTATACCTTTAACAGACACCAGTCTCTTAATAGGGTAGACGACTAATTTTTATTTTAATGTCCGTCTGGTAGATTATTTAAAAACATTAGACACGTATTTTTTATTTTCTTACAGATACGAATAGTTTCGAAGATATATTGATTTGAAATGTCGCGTGACGTCACTTCTCAGTACATTTTATACTAAGAAATGACGTTTTAACCCCCACTCCTAAACTTTGATTCGTTTTATCTAAGTATTGTTTTATTATACGACAAAATAAAAAAATACGTGTCTAATATTTTTTCATTGCCTAACTTACGGACTAATTATATTTTTAATTTTCATAACCTGTCATCATCCCCATTGTAACATATTAAAGAATTTGTATCCGTAGAGTATTTTTGAGAAAATAAAGATTTTTATTATATATATATATTTGTGTATTGTGTATGTTGTGAGTGTACATAAGTATGTAGTATGTAGTAGTACACATATCATACAATAAGTAAATTAATAAAAATGCTCAAGGACTTGTTAAAGTTACAAAACTGATCTACAACTACAATTTTGTAAGTACCCTATTTCTTGTGCTCCATAAACGCTATCAACGTTTTAAAAGAACTAAATACGTAAAATCTACAAGAACAAAAGACAACGTTTATAGCAAGGGTACAATCACGTACGAACATACATACCCACCTACATTAATACATACATAGGTCCCTAACAATAATGACGTCATTAATCATAAGTAAGAACACGTACAGCCAGTTTGTGGCCCGAATTTCAATTCAAAACGTTCACGACTCTTGTCAGTATGAAATAGAAACGTTTAAAAAGTAATTTATATTTTGTTGTTCGACTGCCTCGTTGGCCGAGTGGTCGCAAGTGCGACTGCCGGGCAAAGGGTCTCGGGTTCGATTCCCGGGTCGGGCAAAGTATTACAGGGTTTTTAAAAAAAATCTCAGTAGTAGCACGGAGTCTGGAACTGTGCCCGGTATATGGAAATGTGCTCACCCCCTATTACATGGGATTCGTAACATAAATAGTGAACAGTGGGTGTTACATTGTACGGTGGTATAATGTGCACCTCTGCCTACCCCTTCGAGGATAAAAGGCGTGATGTTATGTTTTTATTATATTTGTTGATCAACTTTTATTCGTATCCAGACTTTTATTTCCTCGAAAGGATATCTCGAGGGTCAGGAGGTTTTTTGTGTAGAAAATCAGTAACCAATACAGGTAGAAGTTTATCGCTATGTATTGGGAACATTCGCAGTTCCTGTGCTGTTACTTAAAATTTTTCAATTCATCTTGTCTCATTAAATCCCCATAATTTAATATTAGACCACAAAATATTCGTACCTACAATCACCTGTACAAACCATACCTTTACAGAAAAGGCTCTTCAGCACGTACCTATACATAGCCTACATCTCTGGCGCCGACAAAATGATACACATCGTTAGGCAATCAATTCAGATGGAAGCTAGGTTCGTTAGGTGCCAACATACGTTGAGGCGCTTACAAGGTCTAACTAGGTACTACAGCAGCATATTCACGTCAAATGCACTTAGTAATATTTGGCTTAAGAGGTCAGTCATAATATGAAGCAACTTCCAGACTAATGAGTATTTTTATTTTATTCTTACTGTTATGATACATCCGAGATTTTTGACACATTTTACATTATATAGCTAATTTATTATTCGTTATTTTCTGGTTTCTTGACGTCCAATGTCTTCAGCCTGCTCTAAAGTGTCTGGTAGCGTAGTGCCTAGTGTCTCTGGTGTTAAAAAGATTAGGATTCCAGATACCAAAGCGAAGGAGGCAAATAACACAAAAGGCAGTTCTTCGAACCATTGGGCACCCTGCAAGTTATTAAATAAATTATAACTAATAAACCTAGTTTTATAATTATTACTTAGATTTTAATAGTATTGCTTTTATATTATTATGTTAATTGTTCTTATTTTGTATTATTTACTTCAACCCATTATTATTTCAGTTTATAAATAAAAATATATGAGTAGGACCTAAATAAAGTCCCTGTGGCACACCTTTGAATATCTTTTAAAAGGTTTACTGGTATCTTAAATACTTACAAAAGCAGGTGTTAAGGGTGCAATTATGGACCCGATTCTTCCCATCATCGAAGAGAAAGCAAACAAGCTGTGTCTATGTTTCGTAGGGTAAAGCTCAGCAGTATAAACATATACTGACGTTGCAACTATTGCTATTGAGCACTTTGCAATAAGGTATACTGTGAGTGATGCTGCATATAAATCTGAAAGAGTATAAATGTTTAGTTGATGTCGACTCTACACGTGACCAGAGGGCTGGCTTTTTCTTCGGACAGAAAATAAGCATTGCCATTCAACGTGGCAATGCTGCCAGTCTTCTGGGAACTTTCCCCTGTGATAGTGATGCGGACAAATACTTTGACGCCTAAATTAAGGGTATAATTTTTGTTGTTTTCTTTTACTTTCTTTTTATTTAATAGTTTAGTTGTAGTTAATTTTAAGTTGTTAATATTTATGTAGTTATATAAATTATGATATTTAAATAAAAATATTTTCCGTTGATATAATGTTGTTGAATGTACGAAAATAAGTGCATTGGTATAGTTGCTAGACGCTTTCGTTCCCTATAATCAAATAACTAAAATAAAATAATTCTCACCTTGTGGAATAAATATGTATGCAATCTGACAAGCAGCGCATAACCAGAAAGCGCCAGTCAACACAGGCTTTCTTCCAATTCTGTCCATAAGAAAGTATGAAATCCAAAATCCAGGGATCTCAACTGCTGACACAGCCACAAAGTTCAAGTATCTGTTGCCAGACATATTCACAGCATTGAGTGACAGTCCATAGTAAATAAACGTGGTCGTAATCCACCATACTGGGGATACAAGCACACGAAGAAGTATTCTTTTATGTCTGAAAACTTGTACCACTAACCAGGACCCACCACCTTGCTTTGCTGCTTCTTCAGCACTGATTCTCAACTTCTCCTCTGCTGTATGACGTAAAGCTTCCAAGGATTTCTCAGATATTTGTTTTCCATTCACCTTGGCCACTTTTCTAAGAAGAGCCTCGGAATCGTCGAAACGGCCCTTACTCATGTACCAGCGCACAGATTCACTGATGAGCCAGTAGTAGGAGATAGTGATTAACTGCGGAATGTAGAGTGTCAGCGTGAGTTTCCTCCAATTAGGAACGCCCCAGGCAATAAATCCCATCAATACTTGTCCAATAGCAAAGCATGTGTTCATTGCAGCTCCAACAGCCACGCGGTATTTTGGACCGACCAACTCTAACACTGTAATTAATTATTCATTTATAAGTCACTAATATTTAGGTTACTCTAAGAAAAAAATAATTAAGATAAATTACATAGGAGGAAAAATAGTTCTTCTTTATAAAAACACGCAAAGTTGACATAATTTTTAGATATCAAAAATTTTAACGGTAATCGCGTACTATAAATTTTAGTTAAGAACTGAATTACTGATAGCATTATTTCAATACAAATAAATATTATCAATGTTCTTTACACGTGATACAACGTTAACACAGAGGTCACAATAATGTTGATGTAACTCATTACACTCACTCAAAATATAAACGCAGGAAAATCCACCAGATCCGAAAGTAGACTCAAAAAACTGAGACAGTATAAAGCCGATGTAGGTGTTTGCCCAATATCGTGTGACTCCAATCCATGCCGTGTTGAATGCAGTAATGGTAAGGGCAACTCGTCTACCCCATCGATCCGATATGAACCCAGCGACCGGCAGCGCGGTGAGAGTACCCAGGGTGCGCATCGTGCCGATCAGCGTCCGTCGCCACTCATCACAGGCCAGTCCAAACTAATACGTCAAAATGAAAATTAGTTTACACTAGCTTTTACCCGCGGCTTCGCTCACGTCACAAAAGGATAAACAGTAGTCTATGTGACATATACCAATACACACAGCGCCATCTATACCAATACTTTTGTTTTCCCTCGGGAATATCAATTTTTTCCGGGTTAAAAGTACCCTATTATTTAATCCGGACTTCTAACTTTACGTCTGCAAAAATTCAAAGCAATCGGTTTAGTAGTTACGGAGTGAAAGTGGAACGAACAAACAAACTCACTTTCCGATTTATAATATTAGTCAGGATACCTTTTCGGTATAAAATAATTTTATCTTACAAATTAAGCGACCAGAAACAGAGCTGTCAAACCTGCGATAAGATATTTAGAATTCCAAATTTTACTTCAGTTTAACACTAATAGCTTGAGTTTTAATGAAAACAAAAGTAGCTATTGTCACTTTTATGAGACACTAGCTTCTGCCCGCGACTTCGTACGCGCAATCCCGATATTTCCCGTTCCCGTTATTGATTTTCGGTAATAAATAAAAAAAAAGAATTGGGTAAAAAGTATCCTATGTCCGTCTCCTGGTTCTAAGCTACCTTCCCACCAATTTTCATCCAAATCGATTTAGCCATTCTTGAGTTATAAATAGTGTAACTAACACGACTTTCTTTTATATATATAGATTTGTGTGACAAGTGGCATTTGTATCTATAGCTATATCACAAATTTCAAAACGAGTAATATGTTATTTCCACATTTCTACTCACATCATACACGACGGAGTGGGTGTTTTGGTAGACGAACTCATCGCAAGGAATTCTCGTATTGCGATCGAAGAGTGCGCTGGGACAAGTGTCACTCTCGACCAGTCTGGACAATGCTGTCAAGTTGCCATATCTCTGACAATTATCGTAGGAAGCTTCACTTGCTCCAGGCGGCACAGCGTTTGCCAACCAGTATGGGGAGAACTCTGTTGATTCTTCTTCACACTCCGTGATTAAGCACCTGGATTTGAACAACTATTTAATAACGGTGAAAAAAGGGATTTAACCTATATTGTACAATGTGATCTATTCACAACAAATTATGGTTATTTATAATGACTATCGTGAGACATACTGGAGTAAATAAAATGATGGTTTACTCATGTAAGTACACTGAGAAAAGCTCTACTAGTTTCGAGTCAGGAACTCTTCCTCACGAGCAGCGTGCGAGGCGGCGTAGCAGAGACGGTTGTGTGACCGTGCACGCTGAGTGAGTAAACCGCAATTTGTAGTTAAATTATGGGTATTCAATGATTTTGTATTTGTTAATGGCGAATCTCCAGTTTGACTTACCTGGTAGCAATTCGAGCTGTTGTGAAAATATATTCCACAGAGCTAAACGCAATAAAGAGGACCAAGACAGATGACAACAAGAAAGTCCGTAGCTGATATTTCCCAAACTGCCCGAGCTCTTTGATGAGAATTGTATCTAGTTCCACTCCTTTCTTTTTCTCTTCTGTTGAAGCTTCATCTGCCTCTGGTTTTTGATCCCTCTGTGATTCCTCCATTTCTTTATTTACGCCAGCAACGTGTGGGTGTAACTCTAGTAATAAAAAAAATATTCAGAATAAACAATCTATAAAACTTTTTATCCATTTTACAACAGCACGGTGATAAAATATAATGTTCTGTCAAGCCATCTTAACTGCTATCATATAGGGTGTCCGTGAAATTTGTTTTTGTAAAATACTGCCTTAAACAGGGTAAGATAAAGTTAATTTTCTTTTCCTACCTCTGTTTAAAGTATATCTTCTTTTCTATTATCCTCTTTCATATTTCATTTTCTTCTTCATAAGTATTATTCTTGATATATTTTTTTTACGCCACGTGACTAGGTCTATGTATATAACAATAGAGTCTATAAGCTTTTAAAAATCTGTACGTGGTGCAATATTCAGATTTCTAAGGTACATAATATTATTCTGATATTCATTTTTTATGTAGTCATTTCGAGTGAGAGAGTCTTAATATTGGCTGTTGCCTGGTTTTGCACGGCATTCTTAAATAAGAAACAACATTTAAATGTCCACAAAAATCATCTTGAAATTCTTTTCGCGGACACCCTATATATAATAGCGCAGGATTACTGGATTAGCATTTATTGCACTATTGATATGGTCATATCGATTTAGTTTTCGTTTATTCATTATGCCACGTGTGTGATATTTTTATTTTACAAATGAAACGTTCGATTGACTGTTTGGACTAAGTATTGTTTAGTTTTTCGATTATTGAAATTATGTTTCAGGGTAGAGTAAAGTCCAGAGTAGGCTTGTGGCTTATCACGTGGTACTTATAACCACAAGTTATATCTGTGAAAGTGATAATGCAGACATGAAAACATGTCAGTCTCTATATTGAGAAGATTAAATAAACACTGCATGACTGCCTCGTTGGCCGAGTGGTCGCAAATGCGACTGGGCAAGGGGTGTCGGGTTCGATTCCCGGGTCAGGCAACGTATTACTGGGTTTTTAAAAAAAATCTCAGTAGTAGCACGGAGTCTGAAAATGTGCCCGGTATATGGCAATAGGCTCACCCCCTATTACATGGGACTCATAACATAAATAGTGAAAAGTGGGTGTTACTTTGTACAGGGGCATAATGTACACTTCTGCCTACCCCATCGGGGATAAAAGGCGTGATGTTATGTTATATATGTTAAATAAACACACAGTCTTCCCATTACTACTAAGGATTAAAACAACTACCAGACTAAAAAATAAGTTTATTCTTAAAAAAATCATAAGTACCTAGGTATAATACAAACGAGATTTTCTATACATATGTTTACCTATATCTAATTGTAGTCAGTTCAATGTTACGTTTTTTGTTTGCGTCCAATATCTTCAGCCTGTTCGAAAGTATCTGGTAGTGTGCTGCCCAGCGTTTCTGGAGTAAAGAATATTAAGACTCCAGACAGTAAGGCGAAAGAGCCAAATAATACGAAAGGTAACTCTTCAAACCATTGCGCACCCTGCAATAAAAATATTTAATAAACATAAAATAAAGCGATTGCAAAATAAGTAATTAGAGATCGTAGTTTATTGATAAAATTATTTGATGATTTAATAAATACTTATTAGAATTTTTCCTCTTTCTTTATTTTCTTATCTCAATTAAAATGTAACACATAGATAGTCAGCAAGTGGAATTCTTTGAAAAATTTGTATTATTATTTTCTGTGGCTTGATATCAATTAAGACTTTGACTTTGAGGTAAATCCTCCGCTAACCCCGGTCACCGGTGACCCCCGTGGCAAGAAGGTTGACGTGTTTTTTATTTATAAAGGTATAATTTAGTGCATGAAGGTACAAGTTTGACGGACTTAGTTACGTAAACGCTTAACTAAAATTCGTAAATATACTTACAAAAGCAGGTGTGAGAGGTGCCACCATAGAACCAATTCTTCCCATCATGGACGAGAACGCAAACAAACTGTGTCTATGTTTCGTTGGGTACAACTCCGCAGTATACACATATACTGCTGTCATCACCATCGCTATAGAACACTTAGCTATAAGGTATACCGTGAGAGATACACCGTACATATCTGAAAAGAAATGTCTATTTTAGAACATGGTAAATATTTGTTACAGCGCACTCAATCAAAGGTCAGTGACATTTGAAATTGAAGATGAACATCCTAGTTGAGGAACATATAAGGAAATGAAAATAGCAAAAAAGGTAAATGACGATACTAACTCGTAGGTATAAATATGTACGCAATTTGGCAAGCAGCACACAACCAGAAAGCTCCAGTCAATACAGGCTTCCTTCCAATTCTGTCCATCAAGAAGTACGAGATCCAAAATCCAGGGATCTCAACTGCTGATACAGCCACGTAGTTCAGGTATCTATTGCCAGACATGTTCACGGCATTGAGCGACAGTCCGTAGTAGATGAAGGTTGTCGTGATCCACCAAATAGGGGATATGAGTACACGTATCAGTATTCGCTTATGTCTGAACACTTGGACTACCAGCCAGGTTTCCCCGCCCTTCTTTGCTGCTTCTTCAGCACTGACCCTCAATTTCTCTTCTGCCGTATGACGCAATGCTTCCAAGGACTTCTCTGATATTTGTTTCCCATTGACTCGAGCCACTTTCCTAAGCAAAGCCTCGGATTCGTCAAAACGACCCTTGCTCATATACCAGCGCACAGACTCGCTGATAAGCCAGTAGTAAAAGATGGTGATGAATTGCGGGATATACAGTGCCAATGTGAGATTTCTCCAGTCAGGAACGGCCCAAGCAATCAGACCCATTGTGACTTGTCCAAGTGCAAAGCATGTGTTCATAGCTGCTCCAGCGGCCACACGGAATTTTGGGCCCACCAACTCCATCACTGTAAAACATTTGACATTAATTATATTCTTTCTGCTTGAATAAAATGTTTGATATAATATTGTGCACGCATTATTTGAAACATTCTATTGTTTATCGGATGCTATAAATTTATAGGTACTTATAATATTACTTAATGATAATAATCTAATAGCTACTATCTATCATGTTTGTCACGCGTGATATCGTTTATACCTAAATACTTTCTCGAGTTATCGGAATGGGAAATTCATTTTTATCTTAAGCCTTTATATTTTAACTGGGTTATTATAGCATTATTTGATGAAGAAATAGATTCTAATGGATTATGATACTGACCGTCACTGAATGTTTAAATAACTATTCATTGTACTGTAAATTAAAAAAAAATTTTTGACAGCGCCTAAAAATGTAATAATTAATATTTCAATACAATTATTGAAAATTAGATTTCTCTACTTACTTAAAATATAGACACAAGAGAATCCACCAGATCCGAAGGTGGCTTCAATGAACTCAGACATCATGAAGCCGATGTAAGTATCTGCCCAGTACCGCGTGACTCCAAGCCATGCTGTGTTGAAAGCATTGATGGTGAGAGCCACTCTTCGACCCCATCGGTCCGAAATGAACCCAGTAATAGGGAGCGCGGTTAATGTTCCAAATGTCCTAACTGTTCCGATCAGCGAGCGTTTCCACTCGTCACAGGCCAAGCCATACTAAAATAAAATATGGAGATGTACAACAAATCACATCCCAAAATGCAGTAGAATGAGGATAATAACAAATGTACAGTTCGAACTTGAAAGTTAAAATCTTGAAACATTTTTACCATGACTGGCAAAATCCCTTAAGCGAGTGAGTTGGGTGAACTAAATAAAGTAATATTTTAAATATAATTTATACACGGATAAACCTATACAGCATAAACATCGTTTTTACTCACGTCATATACAACGGAGAATTTATTTTGGTACACGAAGTCATCGCAAGGGATTCTCGTGTTGCGGTCGAAGAGTGCGCTGGGACAGGTGTCACTCTCAACCACTCGGGGTAATGCTGTCAAGTTCTCAAATCGCTCACAATTGTCATAAGATCCTTCACTAGCGCCAGCCGGTACAGCATTCGCTAACCAGTATGGTGTAAACTCTGGGGAGTCTCCTTCACATTCTGGAATTAGGCATCTAGAAAAATAAATAACAATTAAGTTAAGTTTTAAGTTCAACACAAATATTTTTGGTGTCCCATTAATCCAATGTCTGTCTTTCATCTGCATATTGGGCAAGTACAAAAAAAACAGTCCTGGTCTGTCATAAGGACCTCAGTTCTCTTATAGGCCATATTTTAGCCCTTACCTGGTAGTAATACGAGATGTAGTAAATATGTATTCCACAGCACTCCAAGCTACAAATTGCACCAACAAAACGGCCAACAAAAAAGTCCGTAACTGATATTTTCCAAACTGTCCGATTTCTTCTACTAAAATAGTGTCTAGTTCCACTACACGATGGGGTGATGTTGGGACTTCCTCATTATCTACATCTCCTTTTCGGTCTCTCTGTGCTTCTTCCATTTTGGTGTTCCTCAGGGCACGCCCGCCTCTTGTGCGTGCAGCACTAACAATATGCAGAATAAAATATTTACAAACATTTTATCTATTTTTATAACAGAATTCTGATAAAATGTACTATGAAGTCACACCGCACCGTCTACGCCGTCATTATTGTCTACAGGATTAGTATTTATACGTTTGTAGGTATAAAGATTTTGTTTAATCATTGTGGCGCGTGCATAAATTAATTTTTAGGCGGTTTTTTGATACTTTTATTATATGTTTCCTGCATTTATCAATGCGCTTTTCTTTATCAACTCTTATACATTGCGTTAAGGACATTTTATTATCTTTATTGCAGTTTAATGTTGTTAAATAAAAGTTGTATATAAACATTAATTACATTTAAATTGGACCTTGAATAACTGCGTACGTACTATACTTGATATATTATTATATCACATGGGCCTCCCATAAGTCGTTACATTTCAGATCAGTAAGTGGTTTTCTGTGGTTGGAAGTATTCGGGGGCTTCCTATCACCTGCATAACTAATACTATATTAAATCATTCAATACCATATTTTAAATTAATTTGTATCTAGTCTGTTTACCCTATAATAAAAAAATAAAATTAGAGTTTAATAACTGTTTTATCAATTTCAACGAAACCTCGTGGTTTTTAAAGCATATCCCTTAAAACTTCTAGAAAGTAATTAAAATACGGTTAAGCCCTATTATCATAATGATCACATCAATATTAATACATTATATCAAAAATGAAAGTCATCATACAAGTGTCGGGTATCGGTACAGGGATCAATAAATGTACCTACTTGCGTATACTAGTAATGCGATTCTATCTGTTGGATTTTGGAAAAATTTTTCGTCATAAGTAATTATGACTAGTTATTTTTATACTATCTGTCTCGTTATAATTATAATTACAATCTTCTACGTGCATTTCATTATCTTATTTTAAGATATGAATGAAAGTACATAATAAACTCTTCTTTAAGAATGTTATTATTAAGACGTAGTATAATTGAAAATTAAACTGTCGATAGATAAAGTGAGAGTTTAAAATGTTTTACACAATCATTAGGTACATCTTATGTTTTTACAAGACTGTCATCCATCAGTAACTTTTACATTATCCTTAAATGTCTGCTACCTACTAGGGGTGGCTTGAAAAATCAGATTCGATTTTTAGGTATGGTTAAACTTCTTAGTTATTACCATTCTCATTTACGATGAGAACAAACGGTGAGATTAAATTCAAACATTTATGTTTCACAGACTAGCATTTTTTTAAATTTCTTGATAAATATTTTCTATTTCATCAAACGACTCACAGTCTATCCCATCAAAAATTTACTGAACCCAGACAAGAAGACGGCCAGTAGACGGAAAGACTTAAATACTCACGTACATAATTATCTTCACGGTCATAAATTAATTTACATATTATTCTTAATTCTGAAACTAGCTGGAAGTAGATTAGGGAGACAATGGTTGTATTCGCCTTGTGATTATCAGATAAATTTATCTGTTTATTAACATTGATAATGTAATTATAAGATATATAAATACCTACCCGATATTATCTTAGTAGCGATAGCATTAAACGATTTTACAGGCATAATAATATATTCTTGGTCATTTTTAAGAAGTGTTTTTTTTTCTAGTAACTTTTTCTGAATCACATTATTTTGGCTCAAGCAATTATTTGACATGTACTTTAATTATAATATATGTTACGGTTTAAACATGTATTTTTTATTGACCCTTAAATATTTTTTTCCAAGGGGAGAAAATCATCGAATGCCTTCTCCCGCCCGGGTGAACCGAGAGGGGGTGTCAGGTTCCTGTTCCTGCACTTCGAGCCGGAGCCCCGGTAACCTTTTAATTTCTCCATGGCTCCGTATCGGCATCATCATCGGCCCTATCGAGCCCCATTCGTGGTGGTCTGATGGCCACGGGTTACTCACGTAACCACTTGACAAGGGAATTCAACTAGTTTCAAGCCACAATCTGGTCTTGGCATGGCTCATGAACATTTCATTTTCATTTAACTCTCACGAGAGTTTAAGTACAGAAATAAATACATAATAAGAATTAACCACTCAATTCATAATATCAGATTCAGCCTACAACGTCCTAATCAACTGTTTTTACCTTATTACTCAACAATCAGTGAATTTTATTACTGATACGTACAGATTACTTCTTCATGTAATAAATAATAAGCTTCGACTAAAAATTACATAGAATATTTTTTTCATATTTTTTTTTGTTGACAGTACCTATCAGAGTTATTTATTTAACAGGATGTTATTTAAAATATTAGTAAATAATTATATTGATAATTTTATTCAGAATACATGATAGGTATACAAAATAAGGTATCTACGGAAGTTTGTTACGACAAATAAATTATATCATTTCCTAATTGATTATGATTATTACCTATAGGTCTTAGGCTAACCTAATCAGTTTAATCAATTTAGTATTTTATTTTCCTGCAAGCCTTTCGGACTTCTATTGCATAATTTGAGTGAGTATGCGTGAGAATTGCACAACTTTATTCTCCCTAGTGCGTTTGATCACCGTACTACCAGACGAACGGCGGGGCGCCACCCAATCGCACGTAGCGTTTCGCGTCAAGCTTTTTTGTACAAGTACTCCTCGCCGGAATCTATGTTTCTCGACAAATATAGCTTGGATGTCTTCAAGTCCCGAGTGAACAGGTTGTTGATAGGTAGACGCGCTAGATCGTCGACCGCACCATCGCTTACCACCAGGCGAGATGGTGGCCAAATGTCGACCTAGTAGTCGTCGTCGACAAGTATATAAAAAATTGTTCTGCAAGATCATTACAGTACTAAAACATTTTTTATTTTGAGAATTATAATTTATTATTTTTGTAATTAGTCATTGAATGGTGAACCTCATTTTATAACAGAAACAAACTATAAACGAACAAAGTCATAGGAGAAACTAGTGCGTAATATCTTTATCAATAAACACTTTTATTATTGCCGTATTTAAATTCTGCTGTATAATGCTTGCATTCGTTAATGATGATTTTGCGTGGAACCGTACAATCTTTGCCACAATTTATGATCTTGGCTGATAAATTTCTCATAATCTTAATGACATCAAAATATTTATGATATCATAATAATGAAATATATCCCCGGATTACAGAAACAATTATGTCAAGAACGTTTTGGTTGAATTGAGTGGTAGGATTTTTTTGTTTTGTTTACGTCAAAAAATAGTACGTCTTTTTTACTTTTTAGTACATTTTTGCGTGTTTCTGGTGAGTTAAACGCATGCTAATAATTGTAAGACTAATTTGAATTAATTAAACTGAATTAGTTCAGTTGGACTTTTCTAAACTGTCAGAATATCATTCATAAACACTTCAAAAAAAAAACAATTTTAAATTAATTATTGAAAGCAATAAGAATGCAAGTGTGGGAGAGCCATGCTTCGGCACGAATGGCCCGGCTTGACCGGAATGATACCACGCCCTCACAGAAAACCGACGTGAAGCAACGCTTGCGTTGTGTTTCATCGTGTGAGGGAGGTTACCGGAGGCCCAATTACCCCCTCCCTATTCTCCCGAATCCCTGAATCCTTCACAATCCTCAAATTCCTAATTTCCAAAAGGCCGGTAACGCACTTGTAACGCCTTGGTGTTTTGAGTGTCCATGGATTGCTTACCATCAGGTGATCCTTGTGCTCGTTTACCGGTTTATGCTATAAAAAAAGGAAGAGACTAGTGGAAAGAAGGCAGGTACCCTGCACGACCACGGCTAAAAATAAATAAATAATAATATCCTTAAAATAAATCCTAGTAAGGTTTTAATTATCATCCACTTTCAGAGTAATATCAATTTCGCTTAAAAACAAACTCATATACTACTGAATTTTCTAAAAAATCTACCCAATTACATACATAATACGTCATAATTACATTGTAATTCAATATGAGGATGAAATTTCACATACAATTTTCTCAAATGTGATTTGAAAAGGTATTTTTGAGTTCTGAATACTTTGAAATTATTCGGGGTCAAGCCAATTACAAAAATACGGTCCTCGGATGTTATGCTCAGGTCATTACGGAGTTTTATTCAATGAAATTTATTTAAGAGGCCCTTCATTACGACCCACGCCGAGGTCAAGAAATGAAAAAGTTCTAAAGGAAATAAAATTTTAATTTTCTTTTCACTCAACAGCTTTTGATACACAAATCTGATTGCTAAGTACTTTATTCTTTTAGGACATGCAATAATTTTGCAACATCTTTAAGTGATTGTTATTGATTATCTATTATTATACCTCTAGTATGTCGCGGAGAACCTAACGAGTTACTGGGGCTCCGGCTCGACGCGCAGGAGAAGGAACGGGGTGGTTTTTAGTCAGTAAGAGTCTAACACTTCCTCTCGCCTCATCCAGGCGGGAGCATCATTCGATGATTTTCCCCCTTAAAAAAATTATAGTATACCTACTTTTTAGTATCAAGAAAGTAGGTATCAAGTACAGGTTTATCAAATAACTATTATTTTTATAAGTTTGTGCTTGGACAAAAACAAATTATGTCGCATGGTCAAAGTTTACCTAGCACCCTGCTAGCTATCCGGCTGCTGTGCAACGTATCGCGCCATCAATTCCCACATGAAACAATTGTATTATTTGCGTAATCCACAAATTATTGGCTGTGTAAATATCTGGGTGTCATTTATGTGTTTGTACGCACCTACGATACAGGACAAAATCCTAGTGTGGGTCTGTAGAACTATGTTTAAAAAAATACTAAACCAACATTGGCCCCAAGCTTGGCTATAGCTCTGTTAGAGAGATTTGTTTGAAGTGGTAGGTTTAACACCGCAGGAATCTATTCAGGGGCTTTCTGTGATGTTTGTTTGTTTGTTTGTTTTACCCTGTTGTGGATTCGAAACTGGTTGGCGTAGTGCGAACACGAATTGGTTTTGCGAATTTTGGACAAGGC